TAGAAGTCTAAACCCCCTACAGAAAGGATTAAATTCAAACCCCCGTCTTCACATCTTTCTTCAGAGTATAGTATCCCCATCACTATACTGGGGCATTAGGACCCACACAGACCAAAAGGTGTGTTCCCCCTGCTGGCCCCACTATCACCTCTTCTAGCAGCAAACTTTTTTTTCCCTAGGAGGTCTCTCATTCAGGTACTGACCAGGCTCACACCTGCTTAGCTTCAGTGGGTTGTCAGGGTGATATGGCTGCTTTTATCACACTGTTATTGTTATTGAGTTACTGTTTATTGTCTTCTCTTCTGTTCTATTCATATATTGCACCTGAGTGACTAATGAGAAACACTTTTTTCTAATCTATACACTCATGTAAATATAATGACAAATTGAAGTTGAATTGAATATTGTTGCACCTGTTGCACTGATCTAGTAGATCTGAGTAAAGCAGACTGAGCAAACAGACAAAAGCGAAACTATAGCCAGGTAGAATTAAACAAAACCTGAAATGACTGAGTCTGTGCTTTGAGAAGCAGGGGGACAGTGAATTTTATTTTGAAATCATCAATTATCAATTGACAATTAACTGAACAGTTAACTTATTGTGTCATTTGGAAGGGAAATGGTTAAATCAGCACAAACCATTAATGAGGGGTGTATAAACGTATCCTACTAATTTTTCTAGGGTTTTCATTCGTAATTGCTTATCAGAATGTGTCAGAACAACTTCACAACACAGTGGATAAGCAGAAAATTTGAAACGTAACTGAATGTGCAGTGTGTGAAATATAATTCAGTTGTGAATTTAATATTAAGATTCTGATAGGTAACAGCAAAAAATAAATTAAAAACATAATATTTCAACAGAAATATAAATGTATAAATGTAAAAACACAATCAGTATAAAAATGAGTTGTGATCTATAATGGAAGCAATATTATATATTCCAAACTGAAGGTGAATGATTACTCGGCATCTGTGAAGCACTTGTGATAGGCTGTTTGAACTGTTACAATTTTTTATTTTATTTTCTCAAAAAAACACTCAGAGTAAGGTGGCTCATCAATGTTTAAATCTCTTACCTGATATGGACTACCAGTCAGAAACACTCTTATGCAGTTGTAAACACTTATGTAAACATTTTACATACGGGGTCCTGATGTACAGAAACAACAGACCGCCTATCAGTGATTCAGCTTTCTCACACCACAGAGACTGACCACTATACTGACTGCTGCTCCAAGAAACACAAGAAAACAAGTCCCAGCCCTCAGAAGTTACACAGTCTCACACACAGTCACTGTGTTGGTAGACTCTCCAATATCTCACATACAGTCGCTATGCTGGTTGTCACGATATTGGTCCCCCCTCCTTAGGGGTGCTCCGGCCCTTTCACGTGGGACTTTGTTCAGTGCACCTGTTCCCTATTCCCAGCCCACCTTGGGGGCCAGGCGCTGACGCTCTTCCGGGCTCTGCATCTGATTTCCATATCGTGCGAGTCCGGGACCTGGAAGCGCCTGGTCCCGTTAAGGTTTTAACCTC